CTGAGACCCCGGCCTGGATACGTGCCCAAGGTTCCCACCACTCCCTTCCGGGACCAGGTGGTGAACCTGCAAGCGCTGCCCCTGGAGGAGGCAGACCCAGCCTTGGCACTGCTCTGTCCGGTACGTGCTCTCCGCACCTACGTCGACAGAACGCGGTGTTTCAGGACCTCAGACCAGCTCTTTGTCTGTCATTGGGGGAGCCAGAAGGGAAGGGCTCTCCCAAAGCAACGGCTGTCTCACTGGATAGTGGACGCCATTGCTTTGTCTTACCAGCAGCAAGGCCGTCCGTGCCCCCTTGGTGTGACGGCCCACTCCACTCGGAGCGTGGCTTCCTCTTGGGCTCTTGCGCATGGCGCCTCGCTAACAGACATTTGCAGAGCTGCAGGCTGGGCAACACCCAACACCTTTGCGAGGTTCTATATTCTGCGAATTGAGCCGGTGTCCTCTCACGTACTCGCTTCCGCCAGTACTAGACCCGCTTAGGTGTCTTCGCTTGCTCGCCATTCCACTCCTCAGATTGGATAAGTGCGATATTCCTCAGTAGTCTTCCGTGAAGCCTTGAGTCCTCCAGCACCGACAATGTGAGCACCACTGCTGTTGCTCTGGATGCCGGCTAGGTGCCTCCATGTGCACGGTTCCCTATGGTAACTGTCTCATGTGTATTATCCACTGTAAGCCTCTCTGAGCATGTGTCTTCCCTTGGCAAGCCATCTGTCACCCCTGGAGTTAAATTCTAGTAGCCACCTGCGGTTGGTGCTCCAGTGATCTCCATATGTGTTCCTATGCGACCATATGTGTATTTGTAAGTCCTCCTTCGGTAGGCATCTGGTAGCATGTCCCTCCCGGGCTATGTTCAGGGGTCCAGACTTTCGCAGGGCACTGGAAGACAGCTTGAAGATGGCGTGATGGCACTGACCCCCATTCTCCGTCACTTCTGACTTAACTTGAAGTGACTACGAAAGGGAACGTCTCGGTTACTGATGTAACCCTCGTTCCCTGAGTAGGGAACGGAGACGTTACGTCTCCCTGCCACTTCTGCTGTATCGCTGGGTAGACGCCGGAGTTCAGTCTTGGCTCCTCAGCGAAGACATACTGCGGTTGCGTTCACTTCCTCCTTTTATAGGAGATACGCTTTAGATACGCTTTGCAAATTCCGCAGCCCCAAGGCATTTTCATGCCATTGGCTCGTTTTTAAATACTCGAAGAGGATTGGCTTTCTATGCGAAACCCCCATTCTCTGTCACTTCTGACGTAACGTCTCCGTTCCCTACTCAGGGAACGAGGGTTACATCCGTAACCGAGACGTTTTTTATATCAGCTATGCATTCCATTAATTTTTTGGATTGTTAAGTTTCGTCAGGGCTTATGTTGTTGTTGTTGTTTGTTTTGTTTTTTCTCCAAATTTTCCAAATTCAAAAACTTCCAGTGCCAGGTTTACATTACGAATCCTATATTTTCATTGTGGTCTTTTGGATTACAGACTACACTGTATCTTACAATGTTCTTGTGTTTGGTTTTTACCAAGTGCATTTATTGAAAACTGTACAATATTCTATATGCTTTGACTAATTTTTCAACTGCTTTCTGCAAGAAAGAATGATAACAGCATTCTGGGTGATTGTTTGGACTTTTGTTTTCTTAATTGCTTCAAACTATTCTGTTTCAATAATAGAATAGAATATGAGGGGACAGCTTTTTTGTAGCAATTGTCCAGAGATTGTGGCTGCTCATAACATATTACTGTACATCTAATTTTTTCAAAACACTTTTTGTTAGGTATTGATTGTTTAATCAATGACCTGAGGGTGTGTTTGATGAATGTTTTTATGACTTCATTACAGAGGTGTGCACAATATTTTGACTTGACACATCACTCAGCAGGTTATGTTTGTCCTTTTCCGCATGACTTACACACAACAAATATGTGCAAGGAGGATTACGGCTTTGGATCTGTATCTGAACGTCTGTGTGTGGGTTTAAATTGATGACATTATAAGCTAAATATTCTGGCAGACTCTTTTATTTTCCATTTTATGAATTCCCTGCTGAAAAATCCAGCTAAAACCAGCCAAGGCTGGTTGGCTGGTTTTGGCTGGTCTCCCAGCCTGGTTAGTTGGTTTATCAGGCTGGTTTTAGAGGGGTTTTGAACACTTTTTCAGCTGGTCAGGCTGGTCTTAGCTGGTCAAGTTGGTATACCAGGCTGGGAGACCAGCTTGACCAGCTAAGCCAGGCTGGGTGACCAACTAAAACCAGCTACTTCCAGCTTAAACCAGCTAAGACCAGCCAACCAGCCTAGGCTGGTTTTAGCTGGATTTTTCAGCAGGGTTGTTGGCCTCAAGATACTAACTTGTGGCCTCAAGATGTTAACTCGTAGCCTCAAGATAGTATCTCGTGGCCTCAAGATAGTATCTTAGTATCTTAGTATAGTATCTTCAGGCCACGAGTTACTATCTTGAGGCCACGAGATGCTATGTAAAGGCTACAAGTTACTATCTTGAGGCCACGTGTTACTATCTTGATGCCACGTGTACTATCTTGATGCCACGAGTTACTATCTTGAGGCCACAAGATAGTTATAATTATTTTTTTTTTTTTTTTTTTGACAAAGTGGGACTAGGGGGGCTCCATACAATACAGCTTTCAGATTTCAAATCAGCTTTACAGAGATAACAGAAAAATAATGCAAAAAGTTTGTTCCCTGAAGAAAATAGTGCCACAGTCCAGATTAAGTAAGTTCAGTGATGTTTAATTTTTATTTAAAAAAAAGTTAGCTCTGGAGTAAACTTTCATCATGGATTTTATCGTTCCATCTGGTTGAAGATCGGAATCACGCTGGTATGGAGATGGGTTTGTTGAGGATCAGTACGGATGGTTGTCGTTCCAATGAGCCCTTCACAGGGGAGAGTCTAGTTGACACAATCTAGGTGCAGGTCCTCCATCTGGTCTGGATACGGCCCGGATACGGCTGACTTTATTTTGCGTTGTGGTCATGTCTAGGCATACATCCTTCATCTGGTCTGGATACGGCCTGGATCCAGCTGATTACAGTAAACCTCATAATAAGCAGAAAGACTAACATTAGCGTAGATGCCATTCTTATTCTTATGATGCAACGAGTATATCGGGTGTCATAGGAAGTGTTCCCGGATTTCGGCCAACCTAATTTATGCAGCCTAATAATCATTTAACGGATTTGAATAATAGGAATGTATAATTTTCTATGTGTATCCCAGGTTAAAGAGATGTGTTTAGCTTTGAACCCACAAGAGTATGTCTGCTTCCCGGACAATGTTAGGAAGACTATTCCAGAGTTTTGGTGCTAAATAGGAAAAGGATCTATTGCCAGCAGTCGATTTTTATATATTATCAACAGTTTTGAGAAACAATTGTACATAAATTACATATAAAAATATCAGTTTAGGACATTTGTTGTGTCTGTATTTATCTGTCTTAGTAAAATTATTTTAAATGCTTAGTTTTATTATCAAAGGTCTGTAGTTTTTATGGCTCTAGATATTGCAATATATAATGCAATTCAATACAAAAAATAATTAAGAGATGCTTAAAATTGAGATTATATGATACATCAGGCTTTTGAGAACTCACATTTTAACATATATAAATTATGTATTATCAAGTAAACCTAGGTTGCTTCATGCTTCAATGAGTGTTGTTCATCTTGAAATATTACTAACAATATAAAAGTTATTATTCTCAAAATTACTTTATAAAGGTAACTGTCAAGATTTCACTGCACAAAGACTAAAACCCCCTTTGCTTGTCAAAAAGGCAATTTCAGCAACATTTCGATTATGTTGAAGAGGCCTTAGAAAGTTGTGTATCAAAATGGTATTTATGTAGTAGGCTTTACGGTTATGAACCAGTGTGTTTTTTTAGGCTTTTTCGTTAAAGGGATACTCCACTTTTTTTGGAAATAGGCTCATTTTACAACTCCCCCAGAGTTAAAAAGTTGAGTTTTACCATTCGGCCAATTTTCTGATATTTAGAAGAATATCAGTAACCAGACAGTTTCTGGTCTCATTGACTTCCATAGTATATTTTTTTTTCCTACTATGGAAGTCAATGAGACCAGAAACTGTCTAGTTACTGATATTCTTCTAAATATCACAAAATAGGCTGAATGGATTCGAAAATGTTAAAACTCAACTATTTGACTCTGAGGGACTTGTAAAATGAGCCTATTTCCAAAAAAGTGGAGTATCTCTTTAAGAAACAGAGAGACGTGTTTGAATAAAAAAAAAAAAAAAAAAAAAAACAACAGAAGAATGTGTCCAAATGCCTCACCACCCTCTATGGTCTCTTTAAAATGACCTGTAAATGTTTAATGATTCTCAGGGTTTCTACAAACCATAGATTTGGAAGGTTCTTGTTGGGTAAAATGTTCCTTTAGGTCTGTGGTGATGATTGTCAAGCATATAATATATCAGAGAATTTTCAAACTTTACAAACATATAAGGTTGTGGATGTGGATGTCTCTGGATTGGCTGAGATTTCGAGATCCCCGGATAAGATCAGACTGCCTGATTTCAGCCGAAGTGTGTGTGGATGTGATGCAGTTGGGTCCTGCAGTAAAATACATTAAAATAAAACATTTATTCAGTTTTATTTACCTTTTTTTCTTCATAAATCACACATCTCATAATTCATCTCAGGCATGCTCTTCTTGATGAAACTTTAAGGCCAAAATTGTTTGTTTTGGTGCAAATGACAGTCAGAAAAACTGATATAAATCTAATATACTGTAAATTTGACAATGGTTTTCATTGGTGTTCATTTCACTCCTCCTTAAGACCATCATAATTAATAAAGAATATTTTCTATAATATTTTAAGATGGAATTGTCTTGTTTAACAATGCAAGTCTGAGGAAAAGTAAATATATAAAACAAAATTGAATGTAGAAGTTCAGAGAAACATGCTTGAAAATGAAAATTGTTTCCTACTTCTAATCTTCTACATCTGCTCTCTGTCTTTCTGTAGGACATTGATGAGCTGATGCACACAGACAGACCGGACTGGCAAAGTGTAATGCAGTATGTGGCTCAGATCTATAAGTACTTTGAGACTTAATGTGTAATTGGAAGAAATGAAGAAGAAAGAAAAAGAAGAAGAGGCACAGAAGCACTTTTTTTTTGGCCTGGTCCAGTTCTTCCTTCACAGCCAGTGATTCTAATTACAAACAGACAGACACAGTTCTGTAGTGTTCACACTATCAGGTTCTCACTCTAAATGCAAGAAATATCATATAAGTCCAATAGTCATGCATACACAAACTCATTCAAGCATCAAACATCTTCTGTTTCCTTACAATTCATGTCTCATATGATCCTTACTCAGTTTCTGAAGTTTGAAGTTGCTTGCAGAGTGTAGGTTTGTAATCTTACAATGAAACTGGTATATAGTTTTTTTTTAGTATACTAACTTTTGCTAAGAGGTCAAGTGCATCTTTATAAATTATTATTACCTAAATCTATATATTGGCATACTTATATATTGATATACTTAAAGTATTTTTAAAATTTTAGTTTTTCCACAAATAATTTTAAAGACTAGTATATGTCATAGAAAAGCATCAAACTATGGAAATTAAGTTTCATGTGTTTTGTTGAAAAGTTGAGAGACACTCAACAACCATTGAAAACGTTAAATGTTCCAATTATTTAACAGACTATGTCCATTTACATAATCATCATTAACAATTACAGTTTTTTTCGATTGCTAAACCACAGTGGAGCACAACTGGAGCTACATGTGCAAAACTCTAACTACAGTCTGCACAGCAGCAGTTCATGTGGACCAAACTCTAGATCGTTTTTCATTGCTTGAACACAGTTTTCAAAACTCTACACACTTATCCCATGACTTTAACCACAACCTGCACAACACTGTGGATTTACAGCACTTTGTTCAAATGCTAACACACTGCTGTCAAAACTGTGAACCACTCATTCAAAACAGAATAAATTTCAGCCTTGTGCCTTTCACACACTGCTGACTTTCTATCAGCTGAAAGGATGAAAACTTGTGACCTAATGCTTGAGAGAGGCAGGGTTACAATATTACAGTATGTACTTTTAGATTCTACCTTTTTTTCTCATTACCGTAATTCTGTAAATTACTACAGACTATTGAAGCAAACTGCTAATTTTCAATTGTTATGTTCTAAAAATGTAAAAATATATAATGAAAGAATGTCACTGTTTTCTTTGAAGAAAATATTACTTTGTATGAAGTGTGAAATTGTTGAAAATGCAAAGATGAAAAGTTTGGATTTTCTGCATTGGTGTTTGATGCTACTGTTTTTCCTCTCAGTGTGTTCTGAGTGACAGTGTGTGTTATCTCAGTGAGGGTTGTGCATAGTGTTGTGCACACTGAGCCTGTTTTGAGCCATATGTTACAGTAAAAGTTGTGCTCAGGTGACTGTTGGTAATGCAGACTGTAGTTAGAGTTTTGCACATTTAGCTCCAGTCGTGCTCACTGTCGTTTAGCAATCAAAAAAAAACTGTAAGCTTATTTCTCTTACTCAAGGTATTACAGTTTTTTTCGATTGCTAAACCACAGTGGAGCAACAACTGGAGGTACATGTGCAAAACTCTAACTCCAGTCTGCACAGCAGCAGTTCATGTGGACCAAACTCTAGATCGTTTTTCAGTGCTTGAACACAGTTTTCAAAACTCTACACACTTATCCCATGACTTTAACCACAACCTGCACAACACTGTGGATTTACAGCACTTTGTTCAAATGCTAACACACTGCTGTCAAAACTGTAAACCACTCATTCAAAACAGAATAAATTTCAGCCTTGTGCATTTCACACACTGCTGATGTTCAAACTATTTCAGCTGAAAGGCTGAAAACTTGTGGCCTAATGCTTGAGAGACCCAGATAGCAAACTGACATTGAATCAACGTGGAAACATGACATCGAAACAACGTTGATCTGACATTGTTTTGCTCATTGAATTACAGTAACGTTGAACCAACGTCAGACGTGTCATTCTTTCAAAACTAACGGAAAATCAACTTGAAATCAACATTGTTTCAACGTTACGAAAGCAAACCAATTTTCGATTTTCATTTAGCTTTGAAGAATGCCGCGTCTGACGTTGGTTCAACGTTACTGTAATTCAATGAGCAAAATCAACGTTGTTTCGATGTCATGAGAGACGTCGTTTCCACGTTGATTCAATGTCAGTTTGCTGTCTGGGGAGGGAGGGTTACAGTATCACAGTATGTACTTTTAGTTTCTACCTTTTTTCTCATTACTGTAATTCTGTAAATTACTACAGACTATTGAAGCAAACTGCTAATTTTCAATTGTTATGTTCTAAAAATGTAAATATATCAAATGAAAGAATGTCACTGTTTTCTTTGAAGAAAATATTACTTTGTATGAAGTGTGAAATTGTTGAAACTGTAAAGATGAAAAGTTTGGATTTTCTGCATTGGTGTTTGATGCTACTGTTTTTCCTCTCAGTGTGTTCTGAGTGACAGTGTGTGTTATCTCAGTGAGGGTTGTGCATAGTGTTGTGCACACTGAGCCTGTTTTGAGCCGTGTGTTAAGAGTTGTGCTCAGGTGACTGTTGGTAATGCAGACTGTGGTTAGAGTTTTGCACATTTAGCTCCAGTTGTGCTCATTGTCGTTTAGCAATCGAAAAAAACTGTATTTCCTGAAAAAAAGTTCAGAAAGTCAATGTCTCATTGAATTCTTACTGAATGACCATTATTGATCGTTTAATGCTTTTGTGCCTGTTTAAATTACATGGGATAGTTTAATGAAAGGATTTAAACAATATCTTAAAAAGTATCAATATTGGAAATGTCTTTAGGCTAGTTAGTGTAATCTGTGCCAAATTCTAACAAATGCTGAGTTTCACCTTAATTCAAGCCCATAGATAATTGATAATAAAATTATCTGAACAGAAGTAAAATACATACAAAAAACAGACACCATCTGTGTTTTATAACGTTTTCCTTTTTTTTGTAATACTATTTATTGACTTATTTTCTCTCAAATATTTCATTTGCAAAGGACTGTGTATGTGTGTGTGTGTGTGTGTGTGTGTGTGTGTGTGTGTGTGTGTGTGTGTGTGTGTGTGTGTGTGTGTGTGTGTGTGTGTGTGTGTGTGTGTGCGTGTGTGTGTGTGTGTGTGTGTGTGTGTGTGTGTGTGTGTGTGTGTTTCAATTTGAAACTTTTTGGGTTTGCCTGAAAAACATCAGATGTTTAATTGATGATAATGGTAATAAAGTATTTTGTCATCATAGGCTATTTATTTATTTATTTAAACCTATATCACCTTTATTGGAACTGAATCTCAGAGTCATATGTCTTACAATATATTAATTCACAAAATCATGTTTTATTACAGTTTTTTACAGTCGCTAGGACACATTTCTCAATACTTAGGTCACTTTTTCAAAACTCTTCACACAGTGAGCACAACAGAAGTATATGTGGGCTAAACTGTGGATCAATTATCATTGCTTTGGCAAAAAATTCCTATAGGCCAATTTGCATATGCTTACACACTGTTTTCAAAACTGTTAAACTTATCTTCAAAACAATAACATAATACAAAACTGAATAAGACAGCAATTTGCTACATTTCTACAGTAATATTTTAATGAAATATATCATATGAAATATACCATGAAATATAGTATTTTGCATCTTAAATCTTAAATGCTATAAAAATAAGTGGACAATTGGACCAACCACAGCTGATTCTCATTGTAGATGAACATCTACACAGGCGTTACTCTTTCTATTTCATTGCAAAAGGAGACAACTGCTGAAGAGTTTTGTATTGTGATGTAAACATGGACCCAGCCAGAAACAGAGAAGTGGCTGAAAGAGGAAGAAGGGGGGCTGGGAGGGGGCGAGGTATACGTATGCGTGGTGGAAGAAGAATAAGACGAAGACCAAGAGCTGTAGTCTCAGATGAGATCAGAGCTACTGTAATTGATCATGTAGTAAATCATGCATGGTCTCTCAATGAGAGAGGGTGGTCAGAGAGTGCAGCCAAATCTGCAACGCTCAACAGTGGCATCTATTGTTAGAGTTTTCCGGCAAACAAACATCCATATCTGTATCAGTGGATGGTGTGTATACAAATTCTTGTATTTTGGAATTACTCAGTGCAAAAAAATAAAAATAAAAGACATAAAATATATTGAAGCATTCTGCATCATGTCTGATTCATTCCAGTAAACTCTATTGCAGTGAATTGTAAACAAAGATTGTATAATGCTACATGTTGTTAGTGTTCTTTAGGTCATTGTTTTGTGGGTGACAAAGTGTGTTTGTTGGCTGTCAACCTTTGCTAGTGTTATGGAAGAATGTGTTGATTTGAGAAATGAATGAAGTGTTTTGGTAGTTTTAGTGCATTTTGAATGTGAAATTAACTGCTGTGCTGAGCTGAAAGCTGGTTAGGAGAACTGTGTGAAGAGTTTTGAAAAAGTGACCTAAGTATTGAGAAATGTGTCCTAGCGACTGTAAAAAACTGTAACAAGGTTCAGGAGGAGCAGGTGCAGATCAATCAGTAATCAGCTCAGGACAAAATAAATAACAGCAGAACCCACCTTTGTTCCTTCACAGTTTATTAGAATCCCACCTCCACCCCATCTCCTCACTTTTAGTTCCATCTCTGGGTTCAGGCAGAAATTTCGAACTCGGAGCCCTACACCCGGACAGCATGCCAATTATGCATAACCTTTACCATAATAAGTATATGTAGATGTGAACTCGTGAAATATACAAATATTTCAGATTTTCTGATGTGATTTACACAGAAGTAAAATGGTGCACTTCTACAATTTGGGAGTCATACTGGCATCAGTTTTTATAGGTCTGCTAAAAACCTTTAAAAAGTTGTGCTGAAATAGTAAAGCAGATGTGTGTTGCCATAGACAGACTAATTAGAAATACAGAGCTCATATTGTAAATCTTTAGCAATTACACAATATTGTTACTTCACTCATATCTTCTCACAAATGCGTGTCGTAGCGCGATTTTCAGAAAATCTGACTCTTTTTGTTCAAAACATCTATTGGCTAAGTTAATAGAGTTAAATCAATGTCAAATGTCAATAATGACAAAAATAGAATCTATCTAATCTAACAGATAAACAGATTTTACTAGGGCTAGTAAACATGGTATGAAACAAGTGTTCCCCCCCTTTCCCAGTATACAGAATGTGTAAGGCAGCACTGCAGGAGTTTGCTCTAGACCAAGTGAACAACCTGTAATTGTTCACTTGGTCTATAATATATATATATATATTTTTAGCCCAAACGCACTTGTTTTCATTCAAACTTTTTCTAGTGTTTTATTTATTTAAGTGTTGTATTTCTACTTTGTAAAATAAAAAAGTGACATTAAAGTCGTTGATAGAAGTGGCCATTTTCTTTTGTTTTTACGTTATGCCTGGCAAATGTCAGAAAATAAATAAATGTGACCAACAAAATGACAACTTTATTTAGACAAAGCAGTCAAGTCAAGTCATCTTAATTTACATTACATGCACTTTTAACAATATTTTTAACAATGTAAAATTTATGAAAAAGTTAGCATCAGTTGATTCACTTCTGTCACAACAACCACTAGCCACTCAGGGCCACCAACACGACACTGTTCCAACAGAAAACTCTTAAGTTCTCTCTACGCAAACTTTAATGGCTGATGGCGAGCACATGCGTTATTCATTCTATATATGCGTGTTTGAATATACAACGCATTCTCACCCCAAGGCGTCACCTTTGA